TAAAGTTTGAACAATTTAATATGTTATTTATTATTTATGTTATAATATTATTTATTACTATAAATTAAAATTATGTTTTGAGTAAAAAATGTAATCTAATATAATTCTTATATATTATAAATTTAAAAATAAACCGGTTTTCTAATTAGTTTAATGGTTTAGAGCTATAAATGAATAAATTATTAAATAAAAATTTCTATTCAAAATCAAACTCTAAGATATTTTATTCTTTGTATTTTAGTTCATAATTTAATTTTTTTTAAACTCATTCGTGAAGAATCATCGCTAGTTTATATTATTTTCTTTAAAAAAAATTATTATATTAAGTTTAATGTAATATTTTTATGTTATATTCGAGTTGTATTTTCATGTTTTGTTTTTTAGATTGAAATCTTTATTTATTTTTTTATTAAAAGGACTCTTTCTATTGAAAATACATTCCAGATGGACAATCATATAAGTAGAAGACGCTTTCTATGGAAAGCACCTTTAGTAGTTAGGATGCACCTCAATAAAACGTTTTCTGCAATGTACATTTTATTATGTGACATAAATAGGTACTAGATCAAAAATATATCATCAATAAATGTTATTTTAATAATTAATTAACTTTTTGAATATATTTAAGTAAAAAAGACTCAATATTTGTTCATTGCTCCGTCCTTAATTAGGGATGAGCATTCGATCAAGTCAGGTCGAGTTAAAAAAATTTAGTTATTCGAGTTGACGAGTCGTATTTTACAACTTGAACTTAACTTGAAATTTTTTCAAGCCAAGTCGAGTTATTCGACTTTCTATACTAATTTTATTATAATTATTTATAGTATTATGGCAAGGATTTGTTCCAAATTTTTGACTTTTTTAACCATATAAGATATATGTGTGTGTTCTTTTCACATTATCATGTAATTTAATATATCAAATGCAATCTAAAATTATAAAATATATTAATAATATTATATTTTAAAGAAAATATTTTATGGGTAAAATATTGATGAGAGTATAAAGGAGTCAAAGAAATGATGGGAAGAAATAATTTGCAAATAATTGTAGTCAGAAGACGAAATGAGTAAAATGTATAGTTAAGAGACTAAATAAAAAAAAGAGTACATTTTAGCAAAAAAAGTAAGAATTGAAGTTACATAGGTAATCTATTGTGGTACATGAGCATGTAGTTCAAATTTGGTAAAATAATTGACATAAAATAAAGGATGAATTGAAGAAATAAGGAAATTATAAAAAATTGAGGGACTAAATTGAAAATAAAAAATTTTATTATCAAAAAGAAAAATTGAAAGTACATACGTACTCTACGATGGTTTAGGAGCATGTGGTTCAAATTTGGTAAAAATTGACTTAAATGAAGGAGAAGTTAAAGGAATAATGAAATTGGAGACTAAATTGTAAAATTGTCAAAATACTTACTCAAATTTTTGATTTTTCGAGTAACTCAAAATTTCAACTCAACTCAACCTCAAAAAATGAATTGATAATTTTGAGTTGACTCAAATAACTCGATATTGAAAAAAATCGATTTTTCAAGTTGAGTCGAGTTTTGCTCACCTCTATCCTAAACTAATGTTCTCTTCAATAGCGATTCAAAGTCTATTCATGTTGCCATATTTGTATTATGTATTTTTTTTATGCATTGTATTATGTATTTGAATATAGGGAAAGTTATTTAGATACCATCAAATTTGTAATTTTGTCAATTTTGGCATCAACTTTTAGTTTTACATCTAATTGTGTTATTATAGTGTTAATGAGTTGATGGGATGATGACATGGTAGTTGCAGACCATGTTGTTGGTGACGTGATTAACGCACCAAACGATATTGTTTTGGTATGACTATTTTGAATACCAAAAAGCCCAAAATGAAGTAATTTTACTTGAGAAAATTTTATTGAATACTATGCTTGGGGGATTTAAACTCTAGACTTATTAAAGTAGTGGTTAAAGCTTAACCATTGGACCATGTTGGTGTTTGATTATATTTTTATAAAATTTCTAAAAATATAAAATTTAAATTATTTATCTTAGAGTTAATCTTAATTGAAATTTTGAATTTTTAAAAATTTTATAAAAGTTTTACACAAACTCAAGTTGGCCCAATGTTTAATCTTTAACCTCTATTTCTATAGGTCTAAAGTTCAAACCCTCTCGAGCATAATATTTCATATTTTTTTCTCAAGTAAAATTACGTCATTTTCGGGACTTTTGAGAATCAAAACAATCATATAAAAATGACATCGTTTTGGTGAGACAACCACGTCAACAATGTCACGACACACAGTTGCCATGTCACCATCCCATCAAATAATTAACGACGAAATGGTATAATTGAACGTAAAACTAAGTGTTAATGCTAAAATTGGTAAAATTAAAAGTTTGTAGGTATAAACGGATCATCGCTTAAAGTTTGATAGTATCTTAAATAATCTACCCTTTAACTAATATATATATATATATATCAAATTAATAATGATGACATGTTCCCCACCATTAACTACCTTAACAAAAAAGAAAAGGTTAGGCTATGCAAGAATTGGTAAGTGTTACGCTCATGGTTTTCAGAACCGGACTGGTTAGCGAACCGGTCATGCTATCAGTTCACTGGTTCAACCGGTCGAATCGGTTCGACCGGTCGGAAGAACCGGACGACGTCATAATTATTTAAAAAATTAAATAAAATACCAAAAATATTTAATAAAAAATAATTTTTTATATCACAAGTCATATTCAAAGCAAGTCATAACATATATAAGTTAAAAACCATAATATCAAGTGAAACAAAATGATTCAAATTAACTACAACATAATATTTAAGGTAAAACATATTAAATAATAAATATAATTATATAACTATAATTAAAAAATAAATTTGGGGTTAAAAAAATCATAACAAAATGATATTGTTTGGTTTAATTTTTTTTTTAAAAACAATCCCACATGGCTAAGAAACATAGAAGAGCATCCCAAAAGTCTAAAGAGTAAAAATATGAGAACAAAACAATCTCACATTGCTAAGAAACATAGAAGCGCATCACAACTAACTTCTATAAATAATAGAGGTAATTTGGCGTTCAAAATCATGGAGCCTTTTGGTGAGCATTGAGTGAACTATTCTTTCACTTCAATCAAGCTCGAATTTTAGGCTTCAATCGAGTTCTAATTTTTTTTTTAGTTCAAGCCTTTTTGAGTTCAAGTTTCAATATTATATTTTTGAGTTTGAGTTGAACTTGATAATTTTTAGCTTGTGAGTTTGAGTTGAGTTGAGCTTACTTTTAAAGTTTTCAAGTTCGAGTCGAGCTCAGCAATACTCGAGTTCGACTTGGCTCGTTTAACAAACGACGTTGTTTGGTTTAATTTTTTTTTTTAAAATAACAAAAATCCCAGTTTTTCCCGGTTTTCAGCCGGACCGGTTCGAACGGTTCAGCGGTTCTGGCCAGTTCACTAATAGCGGTTCAACCAGTTTAGATTGAATCGGACTAAACAACGATTCCCGGTTGAACCGGTTGAACCGGCCGGTCCAATTTTCAAAACAGAGGTTAGGCTATAAGATAAGGTGGTCTTTGTCTTATCATCATAAAATAACGTTTTGATTAATTTTGAAAAAAAAAAAGCTAAAGAAGTATTTAGAGAGAAAAAAAAGCTTTAATTTTTTAATAATGAAAGTATATCAATATTTAACTGAGAATTTATATTTTAATATCATTTTTAAGAAAATGATTATATGATGCTCTATGGGTTTATCCATAATTTAATTATAACATCCTCAAGTGAGATTGACTAAATAATTAGTTGAATCGAGAATGCAAAACTCTCTTAGCTCCTGATGTGTACCCTTTGGATTCAATCAAGGGAACATTTTGTCTAAAAATATGAATACTTTACTGGTACTAAAATTAGAAAAGAAGAAAGAAAAAAAAACCCTTAAACGTTAGGTAAACCCACTAACTAATTACAAACATAAACCTTTTGTGCAGGATGGATCCAGAGGTAAGTGGGGTTAGTTGTTCTCTTGAAAATTTAAATACTCTTATATTTTTTTTCTATTAACAATATATTTTCTTCCCGTAAAAATTTTATAACTACGTTGCCTATAAAATTTGAAAAATTCATTTTCCTCTAAAATTTTATAAATTTTTTCTAATAACATAAAATTTTATATCTATCCCTACTCACTTCGACTCCAAAGATGCTTCCATCAGGGGATTAAGCGGATCAAACTATATGATACGTAGTACTATATGTTCGCCCCAATATTAATATAATATCGTTGGAGTTAAATAATTTAAATAGTATGTTAAAAGTATATATTAATCTGAATGGATAATTTTATACAGTACTATAATTTTATCTTTAAAAAAATAATTTTTATACAGTTTTAGATGTTTTTATATTTTTATTGATAATTTTATATTCCTTAACAAGTTTATAATTTTACAGAATTTAATAATATAATTTTTTAAAATCACATTTCTAATATAAAATATTGTGACTATTTAAGACAATAGTATTATATATTTAAAAAAATATTACAATTCAGATTTTAATTCCTTCATCATATTGTTAAACTGTAATTTCACTGTTATAGTAGCTCAAAAACAGTAACTATCGTAATAAAATTTTCTTTTGTTAATTTAGTAAGATTATAAGGTAGTATTTGTCTAGAATAACTTTTAGTTATTGATAATACATATACAGCTTTCATATACAATTGTTTAAACCCGAGATTTCTAGGAAAAACAACTCTTTTTTTATGAGATCACTAGATGGATTTATTGTATGAAAAGAAGTTATCCTCCCCAATTTAAACTATAAGAATTTTCACACCATATTATCATTCATCTATCACAAACCGTTATTTAAATCCTTGGAATGATATATATATATATATATATATATATATATTGTTGAGAAAAAGAATCAGACAAGATGTCAAAATCATACTCAAAAGAGAGGAAGAAAAAAAAAAACCCAAAAAGGATGAATCAATTTAGTTCCTCATCATTCTAAGGGCAAGTGCCTGAAGCTCACCCAGATCACCATCATGCAGGTTCATGCTATTTCCATTGTTGAGTTCAACAGACACAACTGAGCATTGTGGGGAAATTGGGCTCACATAGCTTGGGATGGAAGCAACACCACAAAGGTTTCCTTGCCATTGATTTTCTTCTGTGTTATTTTGACCTAGTTGAGCTTTCACTTGCATTAATTGAGCTTGCAGGCATGCGACCTACGAAAAATATATATAATATTAGAATATGAATATGTCTTAGGAAAAATGTTCAAATTACATTGTGAAAAAGAGAAAAAAAAATGAAACCTGTTGTTGTAAGGCGAATATCTGACCAACGCAACCATAAACCGGATCCCTTAACCTAGCTTCAGCTTCGTAAGCAACGGTGATGACCGCCTCGCAACGATCGTGAGCTGGGATATGCATCAATAATTTCGACACATTGCTAGCCCCAAACACTTTATGAATGGCCGCGAACCTCGCAGGGCCTTGTTCCGAGCAAAAATAGGGAGCGAAAATGCAGTCGGAGGTGCATTTTCGTCTCAAGAACTTGCATGCACCGCAAGGCGAGCCGGTTCCGGATGATGATGCCATGGCTGAAACAAGAGTAGCAATCATAAAAGAATTTGAGAGCACACGAGTACACTAGGAAATGGTGCTATAGAAAATGGGGCAAAACCAAAAGGTTGTAGGATTATATAAGTAGTGTGAATGGGGTGGGCATTAAAGGGCCTTTACGTAGGGTTCTAAGGGAACATTTAATAATGATTTTTATGCCGTATGAGGATCGTTTTTTTCCCAAAGGTTAATAGACCAAATTAGCATATGAGTTTTTAGACTTTGGGGTTATGTTATTTGAATTATTTTTTATTACAAAGTTTGATTTTTGTGGAAATTGTTTCCTTTTTTTTCTTCAGCCGATTGCCGCACCTTGAAACTGCTACTCTTTGTACCACCCTGCCGTTAATGCCTACCGACATTTTTAGTGCATTTGGTTAATGTTGTTGTTTAGTATGTTTTTTCTTTCTTTCAAAATCTTCTAGAACACTAGCGAGATTCAAATAAATGTCTTGAGTTAATAAAAACCATGAAGTGTAACTCATTTGTAATAATTAAGGTTTTGAGAATTTTGTGGTTCCAATTTTGTGTGGATTTGAATCTAGTTTTATGTTAGTTTAAGTCTTAGATTGTTTATATTTTTTATGAGTTAATTGCATCATATGTACTCAAACTATGGTTCTTATTTTAAATTGGTCCCTAAACTTATAAATGTTCTAATTTCATCCTTAAACTATGATTATCGTACTATATTACTCCTCAAACTTTTGAACATTTTATTTTAATCCCCAAACTATATCCTTCATTCTAAATTGGTCCCCAAACATTTCCAACATTTCAATTTCATCCCAAATTTTATGTATATACTAATCACATTCCATGCGAATAAAATAGCTACGTCAAGTTATATTATTATATGTTTGAAAAAAAATAAAGTTCAGGTTAAATTATTGTTAAAATTAATTGCACATTTGGATGCTTTTAGGGATGGAATTGGAAGATTTAAAAGGTTAGGGACTGATTTAGAATAAGGGTCATAGTTTGAGGATGAAACTGAAATGTTCAAAAGTTTGAGGACTAATTCAGAATGAGTATCGTAGTTTGAGGATGAAATTAGAATACTAGAAAGTTTAGGGATAAATTTAAGGATCATAATTTGGGGATATATGATGCAATTAACTTTTTTTTATTAACAAGAAGTATTATAGTTTCAAGATAAATGTCAAAAATTTGAACTCACATAAGGTGAGACAATATGAATATTCTCGAACACTCGACCGATTAATGGGTCTCTAGACTATTCATATTTAATTTAGTTTTAAGTATGAATATATATTAGTTGTTAATCTAATTAAATTTTATAATAAATGTTTTTTATTATAATTATTTAAATTATAACTATAATTAATTATTACAACAAATACTACTTTATAAACATCTTAACTTAATAAAAACGTATAATTAATTATATTAATTGAATTAAATACTAGTAGTTTTTATCTGCAAATTAGTATGATTAGATATATAAACAAAATTAAACCACATATAATGTATCAATCATGTTATGACAAAAAGTAAGCTTTTAAATTATGAAATAAACACAAAACAACAAATGAAGGTTAAAATTATAATTTTAACATTAAAAATATTTTCTAAACTTTAGTTTATTATTATTATTATTATTATTATTATTATTCTTATTATTATTATTTTTGTGTTTGGATTGAAAAGTGATTTTCAAATACATCTTCTAGCTTTTATGTTTGAAAAATAGTTATTTTAGACATTTATTCTCTAAAATTTAGACGTTTTAACTTTTTTTAGGACTCCAAAAGCGTTTTATCTTTAAAAAAAAATTAATAACCTAAAGTGATTGTAAGATAATATATATTCGAAAAATTCTTAATTATTTGATGATAAACAATCAAACACGCCTATAGATGACATGCTCTAACTTAAAACATCTAAAAATAACAATTATCTCTCTAACTATTGAAGTTGTTTTGTTGGTAACCCTAAAAATTACTTTTCAAATGTAGTGTTAAACTTAAAAGTAGCTTTTTCTTCTCAAGTTAGGTTAAAAAAAAGACAGCAAATTTAACCTAGTTGGGAGGTAAAATTGAATAGAAAATTAAACTCCACGTATATGCTTAACAAAGTAACAACCAATTAATCAAGTAGGAGAGTCCTTTAGAGCCGTGTGCAAATGGAAACCAAACACAATTTCTTGTGAGTTTTTTTTTATATATAAAAGCAATTAATTTTATTCAAAATAAGAAATATATGAAATTATAAGAAAGATTTACAATTATAATAATAAATTAAACACATAATTAGGAAATGTTTCTATAATCATTGAACCAAAACTAGTAACTTAAGATCACATAAAGATCATACAAGGAAAAGATTAAAAATCTAACCAATAAACTCGAACAAAGATAGATAAAAACATATATGATCGCATTGGTAAACGAACCACAAAAAAGAATCAAGCTATTGAAAGACACCAACAAACCGCAAATCAAACTCGAACGACTTGAAAAGCTATTCACGAACGCAAATCGTATATCCAAATCCTATCCGAGGGTCCAAAACAGGTAAGATCAACAAGATATTAGATAAGTGTCATCTTGATCAGTCGTGGCGATGTCAAATCAACCCTTAGAAAAAAAAAGGATAAATGGAAAAAAAAGCCAAATAAAAACATTCCAAAAAGTATAAGAAAACGTAACATGAAGACATATGAAATTGTGCCATATAGATAGACTTATTGAAAAATAAATAGAGATACGATATAAAAAATAAAAAGATAATAAAGAATAATGGCAGTCGGCAACTAATATTAAAATTGATGTCTCCGTCGATCAACAAAAACAAAAAAGAAAAGAGATAAGTAACACACCAATAAGAGAAAATTTGGTGTTTTTTCCCTAAATATTTGACGTGTCTGTCTATTTATTAGATTGAAGAAAGTAGTATAAAAACTTCCTTGTGAGTTTTTAGCTGCACAAATCTTCTCTAGTATTGGCAGATACATGGCAAAACCTCATGATTGGTGTTATATCTTTTCGTACTCGATCACTATTGTCTCTTATTGAAAATGAAAATGTCGGACCGTATGATTAATCTTTGAGCCATATTCATTCCATTAACCCCTTTAGACATTTCTTGTTAATTCTAATTCCACAATCCTTTTGCTTTTCCTTTCCTGTCCCCTCCTTGTCGGAAAGGTCTCTTTGTTTCAATGTTCCTTGTCGCCAGTGCGCACGTTTACACCCCTCCTGTCTCCATTAAAACCCAGATGATACTATAATATATATGAGAAGTATACTGTTACAAAACAAAATATTAATATTAAATGGAAAAAATAATTAAAATAAAATAGATTAAACTATAATTGCGTCACGATATAATTATTGTTTTGAAAGTAAATTCGTCTCGATTCTTATAATCGTTGAAATAAAAAATTGTCTCTTAGGGTTAATACAACTCTTCAATATATGTATACCTAAATATTAACATGAAATATTGCCTTGATTATTACAATCCGGCAATCGGAAAATAATACTAAGAAGTAAGAAATTCCCTTATCGTTATATTTATATAGAAAATATTATAATCCGGCAATCGAAAAATAATACTAAGAAGTGAGAAATTCCCTTATCGTTGTATATATAGAAAATAGAAAGCCAACATCTATTCATAGGTTAAAAGTATCGGTAAAATGGTAAAAAAAAAACTCAATAGTGATTATAAAATAATTAATTATCGTAAACACTATTTTAATATTCATAATATATCAGGTAAAGTATACAAATGGTCCCCTGACTATATGACGCTACTTTATTGAGTTATTTGATTATTAAAAGTAATAAAATGGTCCTCTAATTATAGAATGTTGCTTTCTTGAGTCCCTCGACTATTAAAAGTTACAAAATGACCATCCGACTATTCACCGTGTTCCAAACTTCGTCTTTTTCTATTAAAAACTTGATTACAGTTTGAGCTAGACGTTAATCTACTGACTGAGATCGATATGATAGTTGTTTGAGATTCTGGGATCATATTATATCATATCCTACTCAACATATTAACATCTAACTCAAACTTCCATCAATTTTTTAACAAAAAAGAATGAGTTTGAAATACAATGACTAGTCAGGTGACTATTTTGTAACTTTTAATAGTCGGATATCAATTAAAAACGATAAAATATAACTCCTGATCAAATAATGTTATGCAATAAGGATTGTATCTAAGACAATACGCACTAACTGGACGGATTACGACAAACGATTCCTACCCAATATGAGATTCTTTACGTTACCAGAAATGTACACCTACAAATAATTCATCAGCAAAACCTGGAAAATATATGTGAACGGACTCTCAACCGAAAGGCTAACTAAACCCAGAACCAGGTGGAAATACAAGAGAAAAAAGGGCGTGGCGCATTGCTTGAAAAACAGCCATGTAGCTACTACCAAAGGGGAAAAAAAACATAAGTGGGTTAATGGTTGGTCGTCACACACTGATAGGGGAATATCGCAGTTTGCAACAATGCTGATAGCTGTGACTTCATATCATATTGAAAGATGATACGGTGAATACCAGCATATATAGTTGTGGCATGGAAGTCTAAGTTGCTGCGTCATCCAAGCACATGGTCTCACATGCACTTGCACATATACCAATTTCTACGTCAATAATAGGAACCCCTTACTGCCGAGGAGGTGCGACTGGTAAATCATTTATAGTTCCACATGTACGCTTTGGTTATCTCCAGGAATACACTTCGGATTTACGTTAGATGATGCATATTTAAGAACGTATATATTTATATTATCAATTTAGAGAATGCGAAACTAAAAAAAGTCATGTGAAAATATCAATAGAAAATATAACGAAAATACTTAAATTATATGAGAATTTAAAATTTTCATGAACGTAGATGCACCTTATATTTAAAGGTATAATTTTTCAAATTTTTGAGTGTAGCCCCCACATGTCTCAATTGTGTTCTGCCTCTATAGGTT